TTTTTTTTTGAATTATAAGTTAAATTAATCTACTGATGCTATGAAACAGCCAGTTTTTGTCAAAGTGATAAATTTATCTTTGTTTTAAAAGTCTTAAGCCCCACTGAAAATGAGAACGTCATCGCTGCTCAATGCTGTAGCGCACAGATTGTTTATATTGCAACCAGTTCCAACTAGGGAGTACCAATATGGCAGCTGGTGACTTCCCTTCAACCTGAATTACCAACAGGCTATCAGCAATCCAGTGAATAAACAGAGATCAGAGGTAGCTTTTATGAGGCGTCATGAAGCCTTTCCACTCCTTGGCAAACTGCATTGATATTTTGTTCTGATAATGTGTCAGAAGTTGACCTCATTTGTATTATGAGGCAGAAATGTAAAACCGACAGGCAGAAATAAATACGGTACAAAAAAAAAATAAAATACAAAGGAAGAATAAAACAGACAAAAATATTATAGGATGCACATAAATAAATACTTAAAATAAAGTTGAAGATTATAACAGACAATAAATAAATAATGTAATTATTACGAAGGTGAATATAAAAGGAGGCTAATTAGAAGAGATATATACATTTATGTCTCACTTTATAATTTAATTTCCACCTACATTTATTTGTTTATTGTCTTTTTGGGGGCTATTAATTGTATGCTTATTTCTGTAGTTATTTTGTAATAATGGTAGAGCTGGTCCTCCATAGAATACTGCCACCTGCTGGACATTTAAAGTCACTACAGGCAGCCTCTTAGAGTAAACTAACCTGATTGGATGATGACCTTTAATATGATTTAAGCCATTGTTTTCTATAATATATAATCTCGTATTTTCGTTTAAATAGAAAATATTTTTGATATTTTTAGTTGAAATCTATAAATGTGAATATATAAAATGGGACAATTTAAATGAACATGTGAATAAGGGATTAGATTATCGGTTATTTGTGGATTAGAATTTATTTATTTTAAATAACTACAGTAAAACCAGTAAATTAGGAGCCGATTTGCAATCAGTTTGAATTCTGATAAGTTAAGTGATATCTGAGGGAAACAGGATGAAACAAGAACATAAATATAAGATCAAAATGGCTCCACTGGGCTGAAACCTTTTGCCTTCAGGCTGCTCCATATGTCTTCATTCATTTGATGATAAACCATCAAAGATAACAGATTGTTATTTTGGCAGATCCTGTTATAAACACAGTTTAGAAGTCAGTCGGTCCCAAACAGCTCTGATCCTGGACCCATTACCATCACTAGTGATCAGTGAGGCACAAACAATTAATCACAGGAAAGGCCCACTAGCAGTTTCCTTTAATACAAACAATTCAACCTGAAAATATATTTCCGACAATGTTCTAATTGCATCTACATTGTTTACTGGCTTATTTGAAACAATATTAATTCATATTTATTATAAGGCTTTTTAATGTCAACTTCTGTAATATTCAATCACAGAACATCACCACAGTAGAGGGAAAAAAAAAAGTTTTTTTTATTATTTCAGTTTAATATGGGAAAAAAGTCAGAATTCTGACATATTAAACTGAAATAAAATTTAAAAATCAGTTAACTTTTTATTTTTATTTTTTCTGTGGCTCTTCCATATATCACACACTCCCCCACTTAAAAAAAATGCAATGGGTGACATCAGCAGCCGCCAAGGGCGGCATCGGCCTGAAATCACCCGCCGTCGGCACGCCCTCATGCACCCCCCATATAAAGGTACTTTTCAATCAAAACTATTTGTGCATTATAAGTCTGAATTTGAAGTTGCAGAGATTAATCAATAAATCATAAGTTTTGTAGTTTTAGAATTTAAAAAGAAATTTAGAATCTGTGTTCAATTCAATTCAATTCAGTTTATTTCTATAGCGCCAATTCACAACACAAGTCATCTCACTTTACAGTTCACCAGATCACACAGTCAAATTGATTCAAAGTTTTCTATCTAAGGAAAACCAGTT